GCTAACCTGAGAGCATGGTATAGAAAGACCTCAACACAACTATTTCGTATAGCAACCAACAAAATTATCATAGTCAGAATGATCGCCAACGTTCCGAACGGACAGGCACCCTAAGAAGAACACCAGAGTTCTAATGTTGATCCTCCAAATCCAGAAATAACAATATACCTACCATGGGTTTTATTTACTTCACATCTTTACCAATGTTCCAGAGAGATACTCAGCTATTTCTAAGCACATACTCAAATGTTTAGTTTTCGAGAAAAATAACGTACATATTGTTTTTGATAAGTATAACCAGCCTTCTATTTTTTAGAAATTTTTTAGAAATTCTATAATTTAGAAAACTAAATTTATGGTGATCAGTAAAAAAAAAATTCAACATATCGACCTGCATATTGAAGACGAACGTATTGAAAGAGTACACCGATTTAAATATCTGGGATATACAGTAAATGACAAGTGGGACCCAGAAGTAGAGATTAAGATCCGAATTGAAATAGCAAGATCCAAATTCATCAAAATGAGAAAGCTTTTAAGCAACCGCAACCTAAGCATTAATCTCCGATGGCGCGCCACGAAATGCTACGTACTCTCTACGCTACTTTACGGCGTAGAAGGGTGGACGTTAACCGCAGCAATTATAAAGAAGTTAGCGGCTCTAGAAATGTGGCTGTATCGACGCATACTGAGAATACCTTGGACAGACAGATTGACCAACACAGAGGTATTAAGACGAATGGGTAAAGAGGTGGAATTATTAACAACTGTTAAAAGGAGGAAAGCGTCATACCTGGGCCATGTGTTCCGTAATGATAAGTACAGTCTGCTACAGCTTATCGTGGAAGGCAAGATTGAAGGTAGAAGAGGTTTGGGCAGAAAGAAGAAATCCTGGCTGAGAAACTTGAGAGAATGGTTTCAAATACCAGAAGCTGCAAACATAATTCATGCGGCACAAAACAGAGAAACCTATCGTATGATGGTCGCCAACCTTCGGTAGAAGACGGCACATAAAGAAGAAGAAGAAGCCTTCTATTAAAGATTACGAACATAAATTAAGAGAAGAAAATGAAACACAATATATCATTAGCCGAGAAAATAGTCGTCCATTTGATTTCTCTAAATTACTGCAAAGCAGATACTTTAAAGAAAAGTTTATAGAATTTTTAATAGAAGATTTGAAAAATGACGAATACTCGGCGTTGTGTGATGGCAAAACTGTCAAACTTGACTATGATCAATGCTACGTTTTTGAAGGGCGTGATGGTCATATGAACAGAACGATCGATTATAATTCTTCTTCCATGCATGAAGAGACTGACACAAAAATTGTCCATCACATTCATCAAGTTACAAGAGACCATAAGATTTACGTTCGCTGCAGTGACTCTGATACACCAACTATAATTTTGGTCAATATGAAATACTTATAGTCGGGTGCTGAAATTATTGTTGATTTTAGCACTAACAAAAAGAAGGAATACCTTTTTATAAATGAAATTTTCCAAAAAATGGGGATAAAGTTGGCAATAGCTCTTACCATCTGTCATGTTTTCACGGGCAATAATTATAATCGCTAATTTTTTAGGAAAGGCAAAAAAAGACCATTTAAACTTTTAAAAAGTAATATAAATTATCAAGATGCTTTCCTGCAACTTCTGGTCTTAGCAAATAAAAAGGACCATGTTGATTTCTAGTATTTGGTGCAATGCACATTTAAGGCAACCAACAAAATATGTACCCGAGGATTGTGGGTGTGGACATTGATTGATAATGAATATGTACATTATTGGTTCGATGGTCCCCAAAGCCCTTCGTTTAAGGATATAACATCTGCTGATGAAGGTAAATTAACATTGTGTAATATATATTTTTGAAATATTTAATTCAGTTCCTTAAAAATAAATACAATTGGTAAATTTTAGATTCTGAAACTGAAATCACAGAGTCAGAGAATGAGGAATCTGACTATGCCAGTGAAGACTCGGACGATGATGAAGAAAATGAAGAAGAATGATTATATAATTTTTTTACCATTTTTTATGCTTTTGCAATTTTTCAACTATTTTTTTTTATTTTCGTAATTTTTTGTATTTTTATACGTTTTTTATATAAATGAAAACTAATCTTTATAAAAAATATTCATTTAATTTATGGACATTATATGACACGTATTCGTAATAATATTAACATTCATTCAAATTTTTTTAATTAACATTTTTTCGATAAATAAACAATTTTATTTTTAACAAATAATTTAAATCATATGCATCATATTATATAAATTACTCATGTGTTAAAATTTTACTAGTGTTTTGCGAAAGAAAAATTCTTTGATTAATGTTGCTGTTTTAAGTTTTAAAATATGTAATATATTAATTAATTAATTAGAATAATGCAAAAATACGCATACATATTTTATAAAGTGATCGAAATGCAATTTTAATAATAATATTAGATGTAGAATTAATTTGCTGCATTAATTAATATTGTGTATGATTACTAAAAGTTCAGTACGATCATTAAAGCCCCAAATTGCGCCCTCATTAATGCCCCAATTTAAACGTCAGACTTTTTGGCAGTCATTAAGTCTTGCTTTTTTGACAATATATATATATATATATATATATATATATATATATATATATATATATATATATAATATAATATATATATAATATATAATAATATATATATATATATATATATATATATATATATATATATATATATATATATATATATATCGATATCTGACGAGTCTTAATCATTTTAGAGATGACGTGTCAAGGGCACGTTTGACGCATCAGACTTGGAAAAGGGCTTGCTTTTGGTGTCGGACAACAATAGAACCTTTGAAAATAAGGCTATTATCGAGCACAAGTTAATTAAATCTAGCCCAAGTACTTTCGCTTAAAATAGCATCTTCAGGGGCATTTCGTCAAAATGTAAACTATCCGGCAAGCGTAGAATGTGGAAACATTAATAATGACATAAAATTGTACAAAACACTACACTAAACGAGGACAAACAGTTTAAAATCGTTTTAGTGTAGTGTTTTGTACAATTTTATGTCATTATTAATGTTTCCACATTCTACGCTTGCCGGATAGTTTACATTTTGACGAAATGCCCCTGAAGATGCTATTTTAAGCGAAAGTACTTGGGCTAGATTTAATTAACTTGTGCTCGATAATAGCCTTATTTTCAAAGTTCATTTATTCGAGCATTCAACCTCATTTCAATAATAGAACCGTTAGTTTCCTCGTTAAAGCAAGGCATACAGAAAAAATAAGCTGGGTATTTATTATTTTTGCACTGACCGTTGTTCGGTCATGTTTGGGGGGTGGACACCCTTACCGTCCCATCTATGTCGTCAGACAATATTATTTCCTTTTATTATTCACTGAAATCAAGCCATTCAATAAATATAGCAAGAGTATGTATCATTTTTGCACATTTCGTGAAACGGTCATGTTTTGGAAAATATAGGGTGAAAACGCCCTCGAACCAAAAAAAGTCACAGAGGAAAACTGTGGCAGACTTGGTCTAAGGAAGCCATACAAGAGAGTATAAATCTCTTAAAAATTTGCCGGCGGGCACTCTAACTACCAGTGACTAAGTCAATCACCGTCTAACAGTCGTATCGATCTCTTTGTTTGATGTAGTCTGTTAGATACGATCTCTGACATATAAGTTTCGAGGCTGTTGATATAACATCTTTATGTAGGTAAGAAGTATTTGGGACATATAATGAGAAATCAAGGCAGATACGAGCTACTCTAATACATTTTGCAGGGTAAAATTGAAGGAAACGGAGCCCTAGGACGAAGAAGAATATCCTGGCTTTCTAACCTGAGAGCATGGTATAGAAAGATCTCAACACGGCTATTCCGTATAGCAACCAACAAAATCATGATAGCCAGAAAGATCGCCAACGTTCGGAATGGACAGGCACCTTAAGAAGAAGATGTAGATAACAATTTAAAAAAAAATCATTTTCACCTTTCAATACTCTCCCCTTTCGCGTTCCTACACATCGATCCTTGCGAAACTTCTACTGTACGAAGCAGTATTTGATTTTTGTTGTTTTGAAAATAAGCAAACAGAGAATAGGAAAGAACAAATCAAGAATTAAGAGTTTAAATATATATGTATATAATAATACATATATATGTGTTTAAATAATGGCACAAGAAAGAATACCGAAAGAAAAAGTATTGGAGGAAAAAAGGAGAGGAAGCTCCAAACATAGATAAAGAATATATTATATGAAACGATTTGGGTACGCTGTGAATAAGAAATTGAAAGAGCCTGGACAAAAAGAAATGGTTAAAAATATCACATAAATATTATGTCAACTAGGCCTGTAGTGCTCTGTATAAATATTGATAATTTTTATGTACATGCAAAATAGTATAATATAAAAGAAAATTCTTTATCTAATTTGGGACTTATGCCCTCATGTTACACCCTTTCAATCGTTATGCCAACTCTACAGAGTGCTTAATTTATCGTATTATACATTTTCAAATGCATAAAAGAGAAATTCGCTGACTAATGATGAAACTTGTGAGCAATTATTTTAATTCATATCTAGTAATATCTTCCGGTCCATTATGACAGCTAATAACGTCTGATTGTACCGCAAACTGCAACGGAAAATAAGACTCTTCTTGTACTTCTTACAAGAAAGTCTATCATCGGTGGACGCTATCACTATTTTCTGTAATATATAATAAATAAACCATATTATTTAACAATTCACAACTTATATTTAGATAGTAGAGATCATTTAACTTACACAACCTCGAGAACGTATTAATTTTTTGTATAGAAACATTCTTGTACTCATTTTAATCATAATAGTCATTAAAACTGTTTAGGTACTTAATATTATTAAAAATAATTCATTTTAGATGAAAGATCTATATAGTAAAAATTTTTATTTACAACTATAGTTCAACGTTAAGACTACATTTTCGTTTTCTTGGTCACAGTGATCTTCCAGAAGAACCTAGTACGGTCTTGCTACTGGGGGTGACGAGAATACCTACATCTCCAGTACCAACTCGCCGTCCTTGTTCTTTACCCGCTTCTGCCGCCTTTAGCGAAAAGGGTGATTTTGTTGGGGGTGAAAGCGGTGGCGGTAGACAGTCTCGTCGATCATCCATATCGGATGGTAAGAAGAACGTTGTAGTTAGAAGAAATTCTTCTTTAAAGAAGAGTGGTGGTGGTGTTGGTGTCAGTAGACGGTTCCAGGTATATTTGGAATGCTTTTGTGTTTTGTGTTGCTTTTGTTGTGTTTGATGTTAGTAGTAATCAAGCTGTCTTGAATATTTTAAATTAAAACTGTCACATGTAATCTCGAACAGAAATTTTTAAAATAAGAAAAGATGAAAATTTTTTATGTTTCTAGCTATAAAATATACTAATCCAGTGTTGCCCAAAAACTATTGAATATTTATTGTAGTTCGTTGTCAGAATTCGATAACCTCCAGTACGATATCAAAAAACAAGAATTACTTATTCCACTTTTGGTGAAATGAAACCTTGTTAAAACATTGCTTTAATTAAAAAAAAACTCCAAAATCGTCCCTTTTTGATCTAATTCTATTTGACGACGGGAGTTTCAAAATTTGTTTGCTGTTCAAAGACTTCAAAAGTCAGTTACCTATTATTAGTCGGTTTCAAAATTATACTAGGTTTGGAAATACACACAGCACAGTTTTTATGGCAGAATATTACAATGGTTTTTATACAGGGCTGTTAACATTTTGCGGCTCATTGGTTTCGCCACGAAACCACCAATTTCATCACACCAATGTGCTCAACTGACCCACTGGATTCACTACGTAGCCATACTAGCAGTGCCATATATATTTCAATAGATGAACTTAGAAGTCAAAATGTTTTAATTTCATGTATAGTTAGAATTTTTTGGTATGATGGCGGTAGTGTCACAACACGCAAATCATATGTTTGGAGTTCTTACAATTTTGACTGTTTTTTTTGATAAAAAATAGCAAAAATACTTACGGGTAAGTTGTTTATCATGTTGACATAGACCTGTACTCACTCTTTAGAATATAATATGTAACCAAAAATGTGTTTCTGTATCATTTTTGGTCACACCAAAAATACGGTTTCAACGTAACAAGTGGAGTATATAAGCAACTAGAAATGTTGTCCAAAGACGATTTGGAGGATTTATTGTCAGAAATACCCTCAGATAAGGAGTCAATTGTCAGTTCGGGTTCCGATAGTGACGAGGATTTACCAGTGGTTCATCGAGATACTATTCTAGAAACATCTCTACCAAAAAAATACAAATTCTATCAGACATCACCATATTATCAAGCACTAAATTAGGACGGAATCAATCGAAAACGGAAATAAATCTATGAGTGTTAGACTTGTCCCTCCAAAGATTTTGAGAGCAATTCAAAGTAGCGAAGATGAAGAGGACAGTGACGATGATGAGAAAACACGCAAGATGCCAATAAAACTAATAAAAAAGAGTGATCCGAAAGGAAAACGAACGGTAGATGAACCTACTAAAAATACTAAGAAAACATTTAAAGTGGCAGTTTATTTAGGTGAAAGTGTTGTGAACGATCTCACACAAACACTTTTTGACAAGGGACACAAGGTTTATTGTGACAACTATTTTTCGTCGGTATCTCCTATGAAATATTTATTGGAGAACAATATTTGCGCATGTGGTACAGTAAGAGCTGATCGTGCTAAATTGCCACAAGATATTTTAGACGAAGAACAGATGGACCGAGGAGAAACAGATTGGCGGCAGGCTTTCAATAAAATGGTCTTCACTAGGAAGAAGGTGATCAATTTTTTGTCCAACTTTCATGATCCTACTGAAATGGTATCTGTCGAAAGAAGCCAGAAGAATGGTTCCAAAGAAACTGTGGCTGCACCAACAGTTGTAAAAGATTACAACAAATATATATGTGGGGTGGATAAGGCGGATATGCTGAAGAGTCTATACGAAATAAATAGAAAAAGTAAGGAATGGTAACATCACATTTTTTCCATTTACTTAATTTAGCAGTAACTAATGCGTTTATTGTATTTAAATGTAGAAGTCCAGGAGGTGCATTATCATTGAAAGAATTCCGATTAGCCGTTGTTACAGGTTTTATTGGTGCTATTACAGATACCCCAAAAAAAGTGTCCAAAACTTGCAGTAAATAGTTTCAAAAAATATGTACCTATTGAAGTTAGATCCGATAGAGTGGCTCATTTGCCTCTTCATCGAACATCAAGAAGATGTTGGTTATGCAATACAACCGCAAAGGTTCATCGGACTCGTTGGTTTTGTCAAACATGCGATATTGGTCTGTGTTTATCTGGCAATAAAAATTGTTTTCAAAAATCCTATATCCTTGAATAAGTGACTTGTGTCCCAGTGGTTTCACGGTGAAACCATATTTTTTTTTTGTAATATTTGTTACGATTAAATTTAAATTTTCAGAAAAAGTGTTAATTTAATTAAGTTTCCGAAATTTCTTTTATTTTAGAAAAATGAGAAAAAAAAAACAATGTGGGCCGCAAAGGGTTAAAAGCAGAAAAATAATAAATATTGGCATCTTTTGTCCCAGTTTTGTACCAGAATTAATAAAAATAATAACTATCCTGGCAACTTCGAATGCATTAGAAAGTGGACATGAACTGTGTCATACAATTTATGTTATCAGTAATTTTTAAACGGAGTATAATTTGAAACATGCTTGTCTAAAATTGGTTCATATTTGGCTTAATCAATTGCAAAAAAAACGAATAAAATTTCTAAAAAAAAATTAAATACTTTTCATTGCTTTACCACAAAACTTTAATTTTTTTTCTATATTTTAAACAATTTATTTATTAAAAAGATCCACAATGTAAAATACAATTTGACCCAGTTTCGTTTTTTTTTTATTTGTTTAGATCTCTGTTATGTTTTTTAGTTCGGAAATTGTTTATAAAAATCATATCCTTTAACATTATCAGTATTTAAATTAATATTAAAATCGATTCTAAACTTGTTTGCATTACCATCGATTTGCTCAAATTTCGTTTTACATTTTGGATCTTTTTAATAACCAAATTTACTGTCTCGTAATATTTTTTAACTCTTTACTAAGAGGTAATAAGAGATATTTTGTAAATCTTCCAAGCTAGATCTGTTTTGAATTGGACATTTTCCATTTTTTTTATCCTATATTTTTGTCTATAACTCGAGAGTTGTTGTTTCTACAAAAAAATTATACAATTAATGCTTATTAATTACAAAATATAATAATTGAGAAAAAAGTGCAAAAATGGTGTTTTTGCTTTATATTATTTCTTCCCTTAAACATAACGTACACATAAGGTACAACCTTCATATTCCGTCTAGAAAAACTTATACATCTGAAACGTGTGCTAAATTTCGTTAGAATCGAGTTAATAGTTTTTGCATAATAATTTTGCAGTCCAGGGTCCGCAACCAAATCTGCAAAATTGCACAATTATGCTGGGTCCAAAAAATCACTTTATGTAGTAAAGAATTGCTCAAGCTTTCAAACCCAGTTTGAAAAATTAAAATCGGTCAACTAGGAGAGCCTTCGGAATTTTTGAAAGTTATAAACCATTTTTGGCTTATAAATAAATAAAATAGCTTCGCGAGTTTTACACACATCAATTTCAAAGTTTGTATTATACACTTATGGCTCGCCTGCACACTACTTTTTGCCTGTGCAGTTTAACACCGTGCAGGTATGACGGAACACCGTACATTGTCTACACATGAAGGTTACGTAAAAACTGAACTGCGCCCATTTCAGTGTTTCGAGAGCTCGACACGATGACGAGTACCGAAGAGGTGTTTTTAATGAAAGCGTTATTGTATTGGTGTGGAGTAAAAAGTGGCTCCTACAGAGAAACATACATTCACATGTTAATTTAATCGAAGATTTAAGAGAAGATCCCCATGATTAAAAAAGAATATATGTTATGCACCGTTCTAAATATCCTCATCAAAGATTATCCTGTACGTTAATTTTTGTCATTTCTCTTATTTCTGTCAGAATCATCATCATCCAGCCGAATTTTCACATCCATTGTTGGATATAGGCCTCTTCCAAACGTCTCCAGTTCTCTCTATCTCTAGCTGCTGCAATCCAGTTTGTTTCTATTCTCCTTAGGTCGTCGGTCCATCGGGTGGGTGGTCTGCCTCGACTTCGCTTGTCGGCTTTTGGTCTTCACTCCAATAATCTCTTCGTCCATCTTCCGTCTTCCATTCTAGCAACATGTCCAGCCCACCTCCACTTTTGTTTATTGATTCGCAGTATAATATCGTCTACGCCAGTTCGTCGGCGTATCTCCTCATTTCTTACGCGATCTTTCAAGGTCAGGCCCAGCATTGATCTCTCCATTCGCCTTTGTGTTACCTTCAGTTTTTCGGCAGTAGCTTTCGTTAAAGTTAAGGTCTCTGCTCCGTAGGTCAAGACTGGTAAGATGCATTGGTTAAATGCCTTCCTTTTCAGGTGAATTTAGATATTTGTTTTAAAAATGTCTCACATCCGTCCATATGCCGTCCATCCCAACATGATTCGTCTATTTAGCTCGCAGGTTTGGTTGTCTCTGGTTATTCTAATTTCATGACCCAAGTATGTGTATTTATCGATTAATTCTTTCTTGTTGTTATTGATCTGTATCTCTTCGCTGGGAACCATATTGTTCATCATTTTGGTTTTCTCGAAATTTATCTCCAGCCCAGTTTCTTGTAGTATGTCATTCAGTTCTTGGAGCATGTCTTTGATCTCTCCCAGATTATCTGACAGAAGCACGATATCGTCCGCAAAACGTAGATGGTTTAATCTTTTTCCATCGATGGATATTCCTTTCTGTTGCCATGTTAGTTTTTTAAATGCATACTCAAGAACGGTAATGAACAGCTTTGGTGACATGGTATCACCTTGCCTGACTCCCCTTTTTATCTTTATTTTATTAGTTGCAGAATATAGACTTATGGTTGTTGTGGCATTTTCATATATATTTTTAATTATATTACAATATCTGTGGTCGATCCTGCAATCTTGTAGTGCTCTTAAGATGGACGGTAGTTCCACTGTATCAAACGCCTTTTTAAAGTCTACAAATATCAATGCCAAGGGACGGTTATATTCGTTAGTTTTTTCTATTAGGGTTTTTAGGTACTGCAGGTGATCGTTTGTGCCGTAATTAGGGCGGAAACCAGCTTGTTCCCGAGGTTGGTA